TCTCTCATCTTGGAACCTTATGCTGGAAAAGCTGTGCACACATTTCTAGTATGATGCTATACCATTTTAGAAAGCCAACTGTTTCACAGCACTCTCTTTATAACCACCACAACTGGCGGTTCTGGACTGTATCTCTCTGTAGCGTCACAAAAGATGACATCAACTTACATCCCCCCCATGATCACTATTTTTAGTATATCAATGCTAAAGTAAGAAACTGAACAGCACCACAGTTCTTGAATTCCTGTTCTAACAGCAGTCCTTACAATTAAGGTTATTTCTTCCTTTGAGAAGAAACTGGAAAACTATGAATTTAACTGCATATTAAGGGATTGTCTAACATCCTTATTTGTATGATGCAAGGAAATAGTCTCCAACCACGCTAATTAAGCTGTCAAACCCACTATTTGCCCACTGACTCTAAATCCCATAGTCCTGATTAATGGTAGCTCTGGTTCTCCCTGGAGTTACTCCTGCCAGTTTGGAATAGGAGAGACATCTGTACTGTGGATGAGGTTTTTCAAGGTCCTTCCTTTCCAGAACCACAGTAATTGGCCAGTTAAAGTTTTAAAAGTGAGGAAAAAAAAAAAAACAAACCACAAAACCAAACCCCAAGCAAGGTAAGAGTCATCACTCACCCTCAGCTGCATTTTGTTTGAACTTGAACATTCTGCAAAGCAAAAAACAGCATTGTTCAGAGTACTGCATATTTTCAACAGCACCACAAGATGGTCCATTAGAAAAAACAAGCATTCACTTTTCAAAGATACACTGCACCAGAATATCAGCTCCCTGAGTGGTTAATCCTATGAGGGAAGCCTCTAGTTCCTCACAGGTAGGCAAGGAGAGAACAAAGACAGTCAATGTTATCACCACAGAAGGCAGCTTTTAATTCTGGTGACAGATTTGGGAGGCCATCAGCAGGAGGGAAGAGACTGAAAAATGAACTAATGTCCTCTCCCTGAGCACATCAGACTATTTCTGAACAGAAAGTAACACATTCTTGCCAGTGTTGACCTGCAGCGACTTCTCCCACCTGTATTTCTCCCTACAGCATTAGGTGCTCAAATATTATATAATGAAGCATGAATTTACGCATGAACACCCACACAATTGTACCCATTTGGTGCTCAACATGACAGACCAGCTAATAACTCTCTCAAGTGCAAGTATTTCTGTTGAACACAGAGGAAGTCATTAACTGTTCACAGCAACAGATGTGAGAGAAGTTCCTGTTTTCTCCACACCAGCAGGGCAGAACAAAAGATCCAACACCCAGGTGAACCAGAGGCCATGCGTACCAAGCAGTTCAGTCTACAATGTTAAGCTGACTAGAATACTCAAGCATGTCAGAAGCTGGCACTCAAGCATCCACTCCACCACCCACATAGAAACACAACTGCCATTCACTCAGCTTCAGTTCCCCAAAGCAGGACTTACTGCTGCTTTGAGGGGTTTTGGCTGTCTTCTCAGGGCACTCGGGTGCAACACTCTGTCCTGGTGTCTGGGCTAATTCAGAAGCTGTAGGAAATAGGGGGAAGGGATGAAGTTTCACATGTCAGGTACAAAACTCCCAGCTCTGGCTAGTCAGACATGGAGCCATAAGCCTGAAACACTCTTTAAGTATTAATTTCCTAGCTATTACAGAAGTGCACCAGACGCTTCCATTTTTTTCCTAACCCTAATGGTGAATGTAGTCCTTACTAAAGATTTTCAAAGACTGAACTCCTCAGTTAATTCATTTTACAAGTATAGCTGAGGCAATGGCAGAGCACACTTTGCTCCCTGGGAGACCATGTGTCTTTGAATCAGAGCAATATTTGGTCATGGTCACTTAGCCCTTTAAAATTGCTCAACTAGACATAGCAGAGCATCAGTTATAGCAAACACATCAGTTCCCCAGGAGGTGAGTTCTTGTATTCTATTTACCTCTTTCTACTACTTATCAGCACAAGCTGAAGTTGAGTCACCGATCTGAATACGGAAGGCCCCCATACCTTGCTAACAGTACCTCAAGAAAACCAGCCTTCCATTGTACAACTTGCCTCAGTTTTCAAACTGAGTCACGGCTCCAGGAGGGAGCACCAGTGGAAACTATCCTGCTGCAGAAGGAGGTGTAAGAAATATACAACTTCCTAAGACACAGCAGAAGCCCAGCGGAGAAGTAGAGAGATATGAAAACCAGTTTCTGTATAATGATACAGAAGGATGACCCCTCTCCCTTGGATCATCCTTTGTGGGATGTATCAGTAGCTGTGACAGCTAAACACTAATGAAGTTCAGATGGTGCTGAGCACACAAAGACTCTTCAAGTGAGAAGAAACATAGTGGCAGTGGGGCTCAAGTGTCCTATTTGAACCAGAATAGCCCACCCTCTCCAGAACTGCCACTTTCTGATTGCTTCTCCTAAGTCCACAGTTAGCCTAGCAAGCACGCTCAGACACTCTGAGTAAGAGAAATCACCTGACACACAAAGCTTATACTGCCTTTTTTTGACTATTTGCTAAATAATGAGTTATTCTCTTATTCTTCTAAGTTACACAAAGAAAACCCCCTGCCATCATTTGGCACTTACACACAGACTTTCTCCCAGCTTTAAGAAACTTCTACTTTTTCTTAGGTGTTTTTTTATTATCTGTATTTCTTATCCCCACCACGCCTTTGCTTTGTCCTAGCCCTGTGCTTTTGTTTCTGAGGAAGACTGATTCAGAGCCAGATAAAAGCTATTGAAATACTGCAAACATATCTTTTGAATAAACAGAAGTGACAAGTCACATTAACAGAGTACCCAAAAAAAAGACCATAGCGAGAGCAAGAATGAAAGAAAGAGGAAAACATACCCAGCTCTGCCATTCTACCGGAACATTTGGGAGTCTGGAATGAGTAAACTTCACCTCCACTTACACTTGAGCCATTTCCCACTGGATCTGTGAAAAGAAATGGTACTTGTAGCTATTTAAAAAACACTGGTATATTCCCAACCCAAGGGTGATGGAATGCAACATTTTACTACTTGGCTCAAAGGACTCTTTATACTTCAGGTGTTATGAAATAAATATAATAAAATCCTAGAATCATTATCCTCTCCTCTACCTGTTACGATAAGCACAGGCAGAGCTTGTCAGCCCTCAAAAGCAATTTCATCAACATTGTACAACCTTGACACTGCAAGAACCTGAAGTCACAGCTGTGTTAGGTTTTCCCCTGCTAATACCTTGGGCACATACTCCAAGAGCAGCAACATAGTTCTTCTCTTCCAGGATGTCTTGAGCTTCGTCATCTGAAATATTCTCAAGCTTCTTCACAAATCTCTTCACACTGGCTGTCACCTGAGTCTTGTCCTTCCGTACTTTAATACCTAGGATTGCAATAAAAGCTTTAACCTCCTGCTATTTCATTATTTCTGTTGCAGTAATATGCAGCTACCCCATTTAGAGACCAAGTTCCTCTGGTGCAAATCACTAAACAAAAACAGTGCTGAAAAGATGTCCCGCTAAAAGAATAGCTGATCTGTGCCCTGGTAGTCAGCTGACCCTACAGTCCCTCCTTTACCACAGAAGCTGGCCCTTGCAGTCCATGAGGACAAGATTCCCATTTCAGCACACACCAGCTTCCACAGTTTGGGAGAAACGACAGTGACTCACACAGAAAAGTATCAAATTGCATACAAAGGGGATGGTATTTAGCATCCCCTATCCTCCCTAGCAAAGGGGAGCAAGTGGAAAATACCTGGCCTATAGGCTGTCAGAACACTCATGGGAGAATTTAGGCTGAGAGACCTCTGGAGACCGTTTGTCTGACCTTCTGCTCAAAGCAGGACTAACAGTGAAGTCAGATCAGGGCGCCTGTGACTTGCACAGGCAAGCTTCAAGTATCCCCACAGAGGTTCCACACCTTAAAAGTAGTCAAAGCTGCAGCAAAAGACTCCTGTAACCACCACCTCGAACCTCGTTCCGATTTGGTTCTGCGTGTGTTTAACCACGTCAGTGGCTGGGATGTTAGCCAGGCTGTTCGTGCCCCTCTCCCCGGCCGTACGGAGACGCTGCCGTTCGGGCAGCCAGCATCCACATCGCCTTCAGCTGAGGGCTCCTGCCACGGTGCCGCAGCTGCCCTTCCCCGCGTCCCGCGGCGGGGACTGAAATAAACTGCGGAAGAGGCAGCCGGAGGAGAACGACGCCGAAAGCCTCGTCCCGCCCGCAGCCCGGCCGAGGCGCTCAGCCGCCCCGGGTGCTTGGGTAAGGGCTCCCTCTCTGCTGGGAGCCCTCTCCCACCGCCCTGGGAGCAGCGGGCGGCGCTGGGCTGGGCGCTGCCCCGGGACGCCTGTTACCTGCGTCGTCAGCAATGTGCTTCAGGACCTCCTCGTCGGGCACGAACTTCACCTCCAGGGCGCCGCTGCCCTTCCCCTCCGGCTGGCTCATGGCGGGCACCCCGCAAGCACCCCCGGCGCAGCCACGTAGGACCCGCCCAGACCCGTCGGAACCGTCCTCCGCCTCACCACACCGCCCTC